TGTCTAGGCTCTTTTTTTGATGATGATTTTCAGATAATCTAATAATTTTTAAGTTATCTCTCCTGGATCTATTTTCCAGGTCAGTTGTTTTTCCGATGAGATGTTTCACATTGCTTTCTAATTTTTTCATTCTTTTGGTTTTGCTTTATAATTCTTTTTTTTCTTTTCTTTTTCTTTTTTTAGGCAGTTGGGGTTAAGTGACTTGCCCAGGGTCACACAGCTAGTAAGTGTTTTGTCTGAGGCCGGATTCGAACTCAGATCTTCCTGACTTCAGGGCAAGTACTCTATCCACCTCGCTACCTAGCTGCTCCCTATAATTCTTCATTTCTCATTAAGTCACTAGCTTCCAATTGCTCCATTCTAATTTTTAAGGAAGTATTTTCTTCAGTAAGCTTTTGGACTTCCTTTTCCATTTGGCTAGTTCTGCTTTTGAAGGTATTCTTTTCCTCATTGGGTTTTTTGGACCTCTTTTGCCATTTGGATTACCTATTTTTTAAGGTCTTATTTTCTTCAGCATTTTTTTGAGTCTCCTTTAGCAAATTGTTGACTTGTTTTTCATGATTTTCTTGCATCACTCTCATTTCTCTTCCCAGTTTTTCCTCTACTTCTCTTACTTGCTTCTCAAAATTCTTTTTGAGCTCTTCCATGGCCTGGACTGATTCATATTTTTCTTGGAGGCTTTGGATGTAGGAGCTTTGACTTTGTTGTCTTCTTCTGGTGGTATGTTTTAATCTTCTTTGTCACCAAAGAAAAATTCTATGGTCTAACTTTTTTTTTTGCACAGTTTGCTCATGATCCCAGCCAATTTCTTGAGTTTTAAGCTCTTTGTTAAGGTAGGGGTCTGCTTCTAGTGTGGCAAATGTACTGTCTCAAGCTTTGAGAGTTTTGTGCAGCTGTTTTCAAAGATACTTGTAGGGATCTGTAAGTTTTCAGTTCTTCCAAGGTGGTATGATCAAGGTCAAGGTGTTTACTCCTTTCCTGACCTGTGCTGTGATCTATGAGTGACTACAAGCACTCTTTTCTGCCTTGGAACTGTGAGGAGGATTCTCTGTTCACTGCCACTATAAGCTCCACCATGCCAGTGCTCCTCCTCACCCCAGGACTGCCACCTAGGACTGTGATCCAGATACAAGCACAGGCAAAACAAGAGAATCCTGCCTCAGTACCAGTAAAGAGATACCTGCAACCCCTCTCTGATCAGCTGCTTGATCCCCCTACTGTCTGTGGGCCAAGAGCTCCAGAAGCAGCCACTACACTGGGTCCAGACTGTTCCCCTCTCTTACCCAGGTCCAACAGACCTTTTCTACTGACCTTCTAAGCTATCTTTGGTGTTTGTGGGTTGAGAAGTCTGGAAACCGCTACAACTGGTAGTGAATTAGTCCTCTGAGGAAAAGGAGAGCATTCCAGCCACAGGGGACAGCCTATGAAAAGGTAAGGGATGGAAATAAGAGTAATTAGTCAAATTTTAATGGAACACTTAATTTATAAGGGATAGTAATATGAAATTGGTCTGGAAAGATGGATCAGTGATTGCAAAGGGCTTTAAGTGCCAGATGAATTTTGTTTTGTCTTAGAGGTGATAGGGAGCTGAAACTTCTTAAGAGTGACTGACATGGTGATGTTGGTATTTTATGAACATCAGCTTAGGAGTTGTACTGGAGAAAAGAGAGAATACAGATAGTGAAATAAATTAGGAGATTATTGTAATAGTTCGGATAAAAGGTAATGAGTTCCTAAACTAGAGTGGTGGCACTTTGAGTAGAGACAAAGGGATGGATGTGAAAGATATTGCATAGGTAAACCATTTGGATGTGAGCGGAGGACATTGAGAGAAAGTGAAAAGTTGGGGGTGACTCCAAGGTGATAAACCTGATAATTGGAAGGATTGTGCCTGCTAGAGAATTTAGAAAGAAGGGTAGATTTAGGGGGGAAAATCATGAGTTTCATTTTGGAAATATTGAATTTGAGCTGCCTATGGGAACTGGGTTGCTGATGTACAACTGGAAGGTGGTAACTTGGAGCTCAGGAAAGGCTAGCAATAGATACATAAATATGGAAATCATCTGTAATTCAGCCTATGAGAGATGATGAGATCACCAAGGATATATATACAGATAAAATTGGAGGGCTCTTGGTAGAGGTTTAGGGGATAGCCACAATTAAGGTGTGGCACATGGATGATAATTTGGCAAAGGAGAATGAGAAAGAACAGCCAGATGGGCATGAGGAGGAACAGGAGACCCAGGAAGGAGAGCATATCTACAAAGAGAAAGTGGTCAACAGTATTAAATGCTACAAAGAAATAAAAAAGAATGAGGACTGAGAAAAAAAAAACAATCAAGAGATAATTGGGAACCTTGGATAAAGCAATTTCAATTAAGAGATGAAATCAGAAGTCAAAATGCAACTGGTTGAAAAGAGTATGGGACAAATGCAGAGAGCTTTTTCTGTGAGTTGGCTGTGAAAGAAGAGCAAGATAGGGATTATAGGATCAATTGAAGGATTTTAAGGATGGGAATGTCCTGAGCAAGTTTTTGGCATCAGGAAAAGGGCCAGTTAGGCAAGGAGATAGTGAAGATTAGAGATATGGTTGAGGGGCAAGTGGAATTACACTGCCTAAGGAGGCATTTGGAAGAAATGAAGGTATATACTGTATTGTTCCTGTATCACTTAGTGCCTCAGATATCAAGCACATCTCTCCTTCACGTGAGTTCAGGTATATAGATCTGGACTGTGCACTGGACTGTGAGTCAAAAAGACCTGGGTTGAAATCCCAACTCAGCTGTGTGACCTTGGGAAAGTAACTTCACTTTTCTGGGTTTCAAGTTTCCTGATCTGCAAAATGAGGGGTTTGCGCTGGGTGTCTTTAAAGTCCCTTCCTGCTCTAAATCTATGATCCTATGATCTGATACTTCAGACCCTTTAGTGCTAGAATAAAAACTTTGGAATTTCCCCAAAGGGAAATAGGCTGCCTGGCGATCAAAGACCCTGAGCATACTCAGTCTGAACTGTGGGGGCTTTGAATCTGGGCATTGTCATTTTGGGGCTGTGTTAACAGCGTACTATATGTCCCATGAGATTGAGGATTTAATAAAAAAAAATAAGCTGTTATGAAGAGGAAAGTACTCAGTATCTGTGGATTTAACTTAAAATTTCCTCCAGACAATGAAAGGTAAAAATAAATAACTCAAATGATTGAACTTCTGTGTTAAGATTTTAAATCAATTATTTTTTTCCTCCTTTATATGATACAGTACTTATGCACAGATGTCACAGGCACATTCCTCATGTGAATGAGATAAACTAAGAAGTGAAGCCAAAAATTTACATGTTTTCTTTGTTGTTTCTGGGTGTACAGATAACATGCCTTTGCATAACCCTAAATCATTTACTAGATAGCTTTTAAAGACTTTGACAGCTCTCTGAACTATTAGAACAGAACTTGGCAAGGGTGTCTTCCAGCCATTTCTTCTAGTAGGGACCCCATCCCCACATTGTGTCATAAGGGTACATTTGCAGAAGTCCACAAGGATATGAAATTAAACTTCACTTTTCTATCTTTCTCTTTTAATAGTGGAGAAAACACAAATGTAATTCACTTTGTGGCAAGCATGTATTTTTGGAGCCTTTAACCAAAAATACTCTAAAAGCATATATATATAGAAATTCAGACATATACCTTTTGGGTCACACTGTAACAACTACTTCCTGACCCTTTTCACTTAGTGGTTATCATCTGCATCCTAACCAGACTTTCTCAAGTAATGATGGTTGGTATGTAAGTACTTTTAGAAAAGTAGTTTAGTTTCCTATGTTTTTTTTCTACCTTCTGAGGAAATCATTTCTCATTGTTTAGATTTTTAAAACAATTGGTGGAATCCAGAAATATAGCAAATGTTAAGTAGAGGGGAAAATTTGAGCTTGCTTTTTTTTTTCAGCCAATTGAACCAGATACTGGGTTTCTCCCCCCTTTTTTGGTTTTATTTACTGAGGTATGCATATACTTTTGTTGTTTCTAGACACGCACTACATTTCAGGGGGATAATGTATGCTGTCTGTTATAGCAATTCAGTATGAATTGTACATTTAATTCATTTCCCAGTCTAGAATTATGAAATCAAGGAAATGAATGAGTGCTGGGCTTTTTGTTTATAATTCAAATGTATAACCTGCATTGATGTTACTTGATTTCTGAACTCCCTCAATAAATTTCTGAACTTTCTCAGTATGGCACAATAGGATAAATAAAGGAAACTTGTATTTTAACTTTCATCAGTATAAACTGAAATTACTTAAACATATTACCAAATTGAGTCCAATGGAAATATTGCTCTTCTTTATAAACTAAAAGGGCTACAAGAGGATGAGAATACATTTCTAGTGTTCTCAGCGGAAATTAAAATGCAAGACAGGCTCTAAATGCATATATAACTAAAAAATGAATTGAAAAATCTGCTAGTAGAGATAAGATAAATTCATTGTTCCTGGGTTCATTCTCTTATTGGCTCACAACTCCATACTCCATTTTAATTTGTCAGGTATTTGTCACTTGACAGGTAATAGGAGCTAATAGGTTTGAGACCTAGATCTCTCCTTGGATGGGCATATATTGAAAAGGTCCATAAGAATATTAACCTTCCCTCCCCACTCCACCCCCCAATTGCATCACCTCCTCATCCTCTGGCTTATGATTAATTCTTTCTCAGTGTGCAACTCAGATTTTAGAGAAAAATCCCAATGGTTCTACGACTTTGTCTGAGACACACTCAGTGGCTACTTTGAGTATTCCAAGGAGATTTCATGAAGTGTTGCCAGCATTCAATATCAAAATCCCACAGAGATGACGGAATCATTTTTTCCTTCCCTTCCAAAGGCTTGAAGTGACTGCCAGAAATCTTGCCCTGCTCTCGTCTCACAGAAATGGCTTTTGCAGGCCTCCAGGAAGGCTGGCAACAGGATGCTTGTCACTATGAGAAAGGACTGGGAAAAGCCACAATTATTGATTGTGGAGTAGAAGAGAGAGAAAGAAAGCCAAAAATGTTGAGAGGAGTTGGAGGTAACTTACCTGGCCTGATTATGTAACAATCTCTTGATAGTAGGATTCTTTTTTTTAAAGAATAAAAGAGATGTTTGACTTTCTTTTAATTTTTATTTTTTTTAAGATCTCTCTACTTCTACAATCTATGGTGTCAATGCAGATCAATCTTCTGAGCTTCAAGACTTTACTCAAATCACTTCATTTCCTTTGTGTCTTGGCTAGAAGATTAGATTAAAACCAGAACCTCAGTGAAAAGCAGATGGTATGTTTGATCTGAGCTTTCCTGGATGAAAAACATTAAGATTTCTCTCCTCCCACTTAGTGAACTCCACACAATGATGCCTTATGTCAGATCTGTGTAAACAACTGAACACTGTGCATGAACTCATCCTTGAGCACAGAACTACCTCTTCCTTACAAAATGAGTATTTTCTGAGTATGATTTTGTGTGCGAAAAGACTAGGTAGGACTAATGTCTTCTCCTTAGCATAGCCGGATTGGGTAATTATGGATAGATAGTTGATCTTGGAGTTAGCAAGACCTAGGTTGAAATCTTGCCTATTATATTTGCTAGCTCTCTGACCATGAACAAATCACTTTACTTTTCTGATTCTTAGTATCCTCATCTATAAAAGTGGATCTGATAATAAGTGTAGTGCCTACAGAGTTTCTGGGAGACTCAAATGACATAATGTATATAAAATTCTTCACAAACTATAAATATATACACACACATATGAGTTATTAATGTTATTAATGAGAGGTAGTGAGGGGAAGCATATAGAAGGTTAGCCTGGAAGTCAAAGAAACATGAGTTCAGGATCTGCTTTTGGCATATACTGGCTCTGTGGCCATGGACAAGTCATCAAATCTTGAGAAGGCCCAGGTAGCTCTCTAAGATGATAAATTGCAGAATAGTTACTTTTCTGTATTAAAAGAAGGAACTTCCTCAGGTTTCCCAAACCATTAAAAAATCACAAGGTCCAAACAAAAATAAAATACTATTATATTACATTAATCTGGTTGTTTACATATTTTAATATAAGAATATTGGCAGAGAACCTCTACTTGAACCACACTACCTCCCAAACACACTGTACTCATTTTTGAGTTTATGCCTTTGCTCCTCCTTAAAATGTCCTTCTTTCCTTTTTTCTCTGTAAATTCCTATTGCTTTTTTGAGTCCACCTTAAACACAAGTGCTGTATGTAGAGTGAGGCCTTCTTCCCCAAGCACTCCAGCCCTTGAGAATCTCCAGTGGATTCTTATAGCACTTAATGTCTCTATCAATCATTTTTGCACTTAATCTCATTCTCTCTCCTATTGTTATTTAGCATTTTCCTTTGTGTAAGTAGTTTCCCCAACTACATTGTAAATGCCTATGAAAGAACCACATCTCCCCCTCTCTCCCCAACCCTCAGTACACCAACCTTCCCTCTGGCATAGAATAGAGCTAATCATCTAAAAATAACTTGTTGAATCAGTTGTCTGTAACCCAGAAGACAAACCTCTTGAAATTTAGAGTTCTAAATTCATTGTCCTCTCTTAATCAAAGAATCACCAACTTTTAATGGTGGGAGGAGCCAGAGAGATCTTTTTCAATGGTTTCAAGAAACCCAAAGCTTAAAATGGGGATAAAGTCTTTGGTGACCAAGTCAGGGAGTACATAGAAAGGCAATACTGGATCATTGCTGAAAGGGCAATTGAGTCTCTTACATTTTATAGTTGAGAAACCTGACATACAAAGAGATTAAATGACTTGCTCAAAAGTCACATAGCTAGTAAGGGCTTGAGGCAGAATTCAAACTCAGGTGTTCCAGATGCCAGGTCCAAAGCCTTATCAACTATGCCACCTACCTGCCAATTGCTTCTAATTCAGTACAAGAGTAATTCAAGGATCAGAAATAGATAGCTCAGAGACTTTGGATGGAGTTTGAAGCAGTGCTGGAAATAATGGGGAAAGGGCAGAGTATAGGTTCACTTTTAGTGACTCCTTCCCTACAAAACAGCATGAAAATTTATGAATTTAATAGCATGAAAAAATATGGAATATGTCTTTCTCCTGTTCATCCTTCAGCTGTGAGAACTTCGTGCCTGACATCTACCTGCCCGCCCATGGACCCCAAATGTAACTACAGGAATGGTGGTTCTTGCACCTATGCAGGCTCCTGCAAGCACAAATCATGCCAGTGTTCCTCCTGCAAGAAGAGCTGCTGCTTCTGCTGCCCAGGAGAATGTACCAAGTGTATCCAGAGCTTTGTCTGCAAAGACCCCCAAATCTGGAGTTGCAGCTGCTGCCAATAATGTCCTCATTTCCCTTTGACTGTAAATAGAAGAATTTGTGCAGACCTGAATTTTCGTACAGCATGGATGTGTTTTCTACTGTTTTTCTATAAAATGTATAAATTAAAAGAAACTTGATAAATACCTTTAAAAAAAATATGAAACATCTGTCCAAATCTGTTCTCTGTCCTCTAAATTCCCTAGGCTTTCTGATACCATTGCATAGCTTATCTCACATCTGATTTTGTATTGTATATGTTTTATATATTCTTAGATATGTGTGTGTTCCCTAACAGAATGTAATTGTCTTGAAGACAGGAACTTTTATTTTAGATTTTTTGTCTCCAGGACCTAACATCATGCTTGCCACATGGTGGGTGCTTAATAAATGCTTGTTGGGTGATTTTTATAGGAGAAATCATTCTCTTGTTTCCTGGTTGTTTCTGTGTAGTTGTGCCATTTTAATTGATGTTGTATTTTGGAATGTCCCTAAAACATATTTCCTGGCTGTCTTGATTATAGTACAATCCTTTTTGTTTACCATGTTGAAACTACAATTATTTCTGAGATTTAAAGAATCATAAAACTACAGATTAGAACTATGAGAGACCTCAGAGGTAAATTACTCCATTTTATTGATGAAGAAACTGAGATCCAGAGATATTAAGTGACTTGCCCAGGTAGAGCAAGATTTGAACCCAAGTCCTCTGCTGCCAAATGTAGCTTCCCTTCTGTTTTGTAACTTATTTGGATGTGCTGTTCATTGTGGAATGGTGTGGCTCACAAAGAGGTGGTATGACTTAATGGATAACATGCTAGATTTGGAGTCAGGAATATTTGAGTTCAAATCCTACCTAAAACTTGTACTAGGCATGTAACTCTGGGTAAGTCAGCTTCTCTGCTGCTCACTTTCCTCATCTGTAAAATGGGATGATTGGAACAGATAACTTATTGCTCCTTTCAACTTGAAATCATTATTATCCCACAGATAAAAGACAAAGAATTGACATGCCAGGACTTTGCCAGGACAGAGCAATGGATTGGGAATTTGGATTCCTGAGTTCTGGTTTAGGTTAAGCTACTAAGTAGCTGTGTCACTCTGGGAAGGTCATTTTACCTCTGGGAGCTTCAGTTTCTATAAAATAAGTGGGTTGTACTTGATAATCTCTATCCCAGCTCTATATTGTATTTCCTACTTTAGAAAGATTGAAGGGAAAAGAAGGGGATGGTAGAGGATGAGATGGATAGATAGTGTCATGGAAGCAACAGACATAATCTTGGATAGACTTTGGGAAATAATGGAGGACAGAAGGGCCTGGTGTGCTGTGGTCCACAGAATCATGAAGAATGGGACATGACTGTATGACTGAACAACAACAATAACAACAATAATTTTAGAAGGTATCTCAGAATTACAGAATTTCAGAGTTGAAAAGTAATATAGAGGCTATCTAGGTCCACCTATACCTGAAAAATAATTCAGACTACAACATATTTGACAAATGGTCATCCAGTCTTTACTTGAAGATCTCCCAAAAGGGAGATTTAATGCCTCTCAGCCTATTCCATTTTTGGATGGCTCTATTTGTTAACAATTTTTTCCTTATGTCAGAACCAAATTTGTCTCTGTAAAATTCCACCTTCCATTTGATAGCCCTTCAAATACTTGAAAACAGCTATCATATCATCATCTTCTCTATGCTAACCATCCCTAATTCCTTCAATAATCCTCATATAATGTTAACTCAAGGCTTGTCACCATCCTAGTTGCTCTGCTCTGGATGCTTTCCTGCTTATCAATGTCCTTCCAAATGGTGCCAAGAGCTGGACACAATACTCCGTATGGAGTCTGTGTAGAGCATAGTTCAGAAAGACTATTACCTGCTTATTCCCTGGACACTATGTTGAATGCATGAGGTAGCGTAAGATTTCATTTTAGCTTTCATTGCTGCCATATCATAGTCCTGACTCATAGTGATCTTTCTATTCATCAAAACATCTAGATAGTCTTTCAAGCAATTGCTGTCTAATCTTATCTTTCCAATTTCGTACAAACTCAAAACTTTACATTTATCTTCATTAAGTTTCTTCTTATTAGAGTTCAGCTCAGTATTCTAGACTATAAAGATCTTTTTGGCTCTTGGCAACTGTCATCCAGTGTGTTAGCTGTTCCTCCCAGTTTTGTATCATCTGAAAATTTATAAGCATGCCTTCAATGCCTTTTTTCAAGCCATTGATGCAAATATTCAATAGTACAAGGCCAAACTGAGCTTAAAAAAAATTAATGAAAAAAAGATTTAAGTGCTTATTATTGCCAGGCATTGTGCTAAATACTGGGAATACAAATGTAATGTTGTTGGGTTTTGCTCTGGGCTGTGGAGTTAGCCCACTGGCATTGGATCATTTTTGTTCCCTCCTACTTACATGCTCAATGGGGGTTAATGGGAGGCAGGGGTGGAGATAGGTGAGTTGAGCAGCTCTGAATTCTTTCCAGATCTTTTCCTGTCTTCCCATTGTGGAGTGGGAAATTAGGCTAGGGTAAGAATTTTTTTCTGAAGTTATTGACCTCTCTTCTCTAACCCCTTTCTTATTGGAGATTTAATCAGCACACACTATTACAAGAAGTAGCTAATTTTGTTTTCTCCTATAGGCAATATACTGGCCCTTAGGTCTATATGGTTCCTTTCTCTATTTTATGGCATTTGTATCTGGTAAAAAGTTATTAATAGAATCCTAATAGCTCAAAAGCCCTGGTTAGGAAAATTCCTAAATTCAGAAAGAGGTTTGGCTCTATCATTTAAGTTTTGTTTATCTCCATCCAAGGTCTGACCTCTTTATGTTTGAAAAGGAGAAGGAGGAGAAGGAGAAGGCAGAAGAGGAGGAGGATAATTTTCACATAATTTTCAGGGCTACTTTTTTCTCTGAACTACAAAGCCTGGGTGGCCAATCAGTTCTCAAACCCCCATTTTAAAAAACAAAACAAAACAAAGACAAAGACAAAAAAGTAAACTTCCTTCAAGAACTTATTTTGTGATAAGGGAAGACAATACATATAAGGAAATGGTGGTCAGGGAGGACTGATTTCAGGGAAGTCACTGGGGTGGTGAATGGAGTCATAGAAAAGTAAATTGATATGTCCTGTCTGGGAATGGTCAAATTGATTTAATTCTTGTTCTAATGTATTGCTGAATCTTGTCTCCTTATACCACACTCCCCTTCGTGTACCCTTCAGTTCATCTATGCTGGCTTCCTTGTCATTTCTCTCACATCCTTGTTCCATTTCTCTTGCTTTCCCCCATTCCTGGAATGTTCTGCCTATCATCTCAGTTTTTAAGATTCTCTGCATTTCTTCTGGATTCAGCTAAAATTCTACCTTCTGCAGGGGACCTCTTCCAGCCCCCCTAACTACTAATGCCTTCCTCTGTCAAATTTCCTTCCATCTACTCTGTTTATGTATCATACAAAGATTTTTGTACTCTATCTCCCCTATTAGAATGTGAGCTTCTTGAGAGCAGTAACTGTTTTGACTTTTTTCATATCCCCAATGCTTAGCAGAGTGCCTGGCACATAATAAACATTTGAAAAATACTTATTGACTGACTGACTGAAGGGATTGGGTAGGTGGGCAGGAAGATGGCCAGAGAGTAGCAAACACCATGGTAGGTAGGTTTGGGTTGGGCTGGCTCAGGAAAACTCACCAATCAGGAGCAAACAGGGACTCAGTGTAGGAGCTGGGGAATTGTGATATAGGTGAGAAATGAAAGGGAGTTTATAGGTCATCTAGCCTCAGTTCCAAGAGTTTTGATATGAGGGTATTGGATTAGTCAATCAGTCAAAAGCATTCATTCAGTACTTATTATGTTCCAGGTACTGTGCTAAGTTCTGGGAATATAAAGAAAGGAAAAAACAGGTCCCTGACCAGGAGTTCACATTCTAATGGGGGAGATGGGCAACATGCGTAATCATATGCATGCAACATACATACAGTACAAATGGAGGGAAGGGAGTAGCAGTGGTATGGTGGAAGGGAAGGAAATTCTTCAAGAGCAGGGGTGGGGAATCATTTCATGTTGGAAGGCTGAATTGATATCTAGATGTAATCAAATAAGGACATATTCAAGAAACTTCAATTCGATATAGTTTAAAATGGACATTATTTTGTAAAAATCTAACTGCTATGTACTGAATAATTTCAAAAAATGAAAACTATTTGTTACTTTTAAAGTTAACTAACATTTTAATGACTTTGTTGTATCTGCTTTTTGTTGGAAAGCATTTGAATATTTGGTTGCAGCATGTAGGTCTTCTGTTTCAGTTGATCCTCTAAATGGGTGTCAGTCATTTGTGACCTCAATGGTGTCTTGATTTGGGTTAGGTAGGAGAATGTAGATTTGAAGCAATAAGTGGTTGAAAAGCAAGAAAGCATTTTTTGGTCATCTTTCCAAAGGTGTGGGTATTCTATGCATTTTTCCATATTTCAATTGGATCTTTCTTAGCATCAAACAATGACTTCAAAAATGTCGTCTACTGAGAGCTCAATCAGTTCCATCTGTAGTTCTTTAGGTGCCTTGGTAATATCAAGTAGGTGAGGCTAAAATGCTAATTTTAGTGTGATGTCATGATTCTCAAAGTCAGTGAACTTTTCATTGTGTTCTCCAATTAATAGGTCTATAGCCACTGTGTATTCTTCAAATGATTCACGTATATCATCTGGCTCATCAATAACTTTTGTTATCATTAATCCGAAATTTCCTTTTGAAGAAGTGTTTTTGAAAAAAGCTTTTTTTTTTCAAATGCTCGTATTTTTTTTTTGCTGTGTATTATGTATAGATAGTTTTACTTTGCAAAGAAACATTCAAGTCATTTTGATTTGACATATCACACAGAAATGCACCATTCCTATAGATAGATATCTTTCAAGAATTCACATTGCTGATTCTGTTCTTCATAAAATTTAACTATCTGTTCTTGCAGAGATAAAATTTTGGCTAACACTTGTCCCTGTGATAGCCAGTACACTTTAGAATAATATGGCAAATCCACACTGAATATGTTACAAAACTGATGATGCTGCATTGCATTTACATGAATATAGTTAATAATACTTATAACTTGTTGTAAAGCATCACTTAAAATAGTAGCTTTAGCACAGAGGCTTTGCTGATGCAAAATACAATGAAAAGAAATGACAGTATATGGATCTGTTAATACTTTTTTTTTTAAATCTGTACAGTAAACCCTTCATATTTTCCTGTTGTGGAAGGTACACCGTCTGCATGTACACTCACAAAGTTTACCAAATCCAGTCCAACTTCATGACATTTATCTTGAAAGCTGTTAAAGATATCTATTCATGTTTTGTTCACAAAAGTGCCCAGAGCAAGTAACTCATCATAGCAAAGAAAATCTTCTGTTATGACCCAAATGAAGCATAAAACCTGCCCCAAGCCAGTAATATCAGTTAATTCATCCAAAGCAATTTAATAATATATATTTTCCTTTTGAAGTATTGCATGAAGTTGTTCTGTTAAGTTGAAGATCAATTCATGCTGCCAATCAGTTACAGTTCTTGAAAGAGGCAGTAGTTTGTACTTTGAAATGTTATTGCAGTCTAAGCATCCTACAACTTCAACTATGCATTCTTTCACAATTTCTACATCATTGAATGGCTTCCCTTTTTCCCCAAGTATATAAGGTACTTTGTAAGTTGCTTCAGTGGCATTTTTTCCAGGTCTTATTGCTATTTGAAAGAATTGTCTTTGATTTTGCTTTTCCTCTTTTAACTTCTGCAATACAACTTTTCATGCCTCTCCCTCTAGTTTAAAATATTT